GACTTTTTATCTCGCAATTGCGACTTTATATCACGCAATTCTGACTTTATATCTCGCAATTCTGACTTTATATCACGCAATTCTGACTATATCTCACAATTCTGACTTTATAACTCGCAATTGTGACTTTATATCACGCAATTCTGACTTTATATTTCGCAATTCTGACTTTATATCACGCAAATCTGACTTTATATCTCGCAATTCTGACTTTATAACTCGCAATTGCGACTTTATATCACGCAATTCTGACTTTATAACTCGCAATTGCGAATTTATATCACGCAATTCTGACTTTATGTCTCGCAATTCTGACTTTATAACTCGCAATTGCGACTTTATATCACGCAATTCGGACTTTTTATCTCGCAATTGCGACTTTATATCACGCAATTCTGACTATATCTCGCAATTCTGACTTTATAACTCGCAATTGCGACTTTATATCACGCAATTCTGACTTTATATCTCGCAATTCTGACTTTATCACGCAATTCTGACTTTATATCTCGCAATTCTGACTTTATAATTCGCAATTGCGACTTTATATCTCGCAATTCTGACTTTTTATCTCACAATTGCGACTTTATATCACGCAATTCTGACTTTATATCTCGCAATTCTGACTTTATATCACGCAATTCTGACTTTATATCTCGCAATTCTGACTTTATAACTCGCAATTGCGACTTTATATCACACAATTCGGACTTTTTATCTCGCAATTGTGAGAAAAAAAGTCAGAATTGTGAGATAAAAAGTCGCAATTATTTACTTTATTTTTTTATTCAGTGGCGGAAACAAGCTTCCATACCAGACAGCCTAGCCTCCACTTAAAACACTGGTGACGAGCACTTGGATTCAATGCAATATTCAGCACCTTTCAGAAACAACAACGTGCCATTAAAGTCCCCCCTTAGGTGAAAATTAAGCTTTTGTTTGTATGTCTGTGTGGTGTTTTAAAGCAGCATTATGTAACTTTTTCAACCTTTATAATATTTTTCCAAATCCCTTGTGATGGTACATCGACTTACAATAGATTGAATGACAGGTCTGCCATAGCCTGACGGTGTCTGTATCGCTTTTACTGGCACTATGTAACTTTGGGTTTCAGGAAGGAACCCATGCACAAGAAAAGCTACTGCTTTACGGCATACATCACTTCCCCCACTTCCTCAAATTCTAACGTGTGAGCCCAACGAGCGTTTTTTTTGTGTGTGTGGTTTTTTTTTGTATCATGTATTTTTTTGTATCATGTTTTTTTGTATCATGGCTGTATCATGATACCTCTGTATCATGGGTGAAGCAGCATGCAAAACCAAGAAACCAAAGATTTTGTCGGAGGGCAGTAGAAAGAGAAAAAGGGAGTGTGAGCAAATAAAAGGCAGGACGAGTATCAATATTGGTCCTGCGTTCGCTCGCTGGTGTGAGCTAAAGGAGGAGGAGGGGTGCCCGATCGATGCTTGCCATCAAAAACTAAATAAATCAGCCTATGTCTTAACGGTGTGTACAAGTTTGGTAGGGGCTACATTCTTGCAAGTAAATAATACATGATTAGATGGACACAATAAAAGGATAACTATCCAATGTCTGCAATCTGATTGTTTATTTATCTTTCAGGTGAAAGCGTCTTGCCTCAGGCTATCCACAAGTTTCCTACGCCCCATGAGGCCTTGCGTCAAAAGTGGGCGTGACTTCCGGTTGGAAGTAAACAAAGCGCGATTTGACATGCTTGACACTCGTTCATTCAACAGTTGACAGTCATTCAAGTTATAGCGATCCAAACTAGCTAACGATGTGGGAACACAACCTCAACGAAATTCAAAAGGGTGAAATAACAGTCCCTTTACCCTCCGCAGTAGTTGATTGGGAGTATTATAATAACATTATTAATAATCAATACTCATCAAGGCATGGTGACAGACAGTTGTGCGAGCTGACAAACAATTAAAATAAAAAATATACACTTAGTCATTGTGCTTTGGAGTTTATTCAAAATTATAAATGAATGTGCTGCTTGAATACATTAACTGGCACATTTGGTATTCTGTCAACACAGGCTTTGATTCTGAGTTTAGCTGTAACATCAGTAGCGAACAGCCAATCACATGCTGATAGAGTTTATAGAACATTAAGAATTTAAACAAATGTACACAGGAAGATTCGTCGTCTTTTGGGAGGTGATGGAAACTACAGTCGTTGGCAGGATCAGAGACGGGCTCTGGCAGGATCACTCTGATTTCGTTTTCAGCTTATGTTCAAAACAATCACGTTTAAGCCACTAAATTAGTTTAGTCCGGCTATACATACAACCGCGAACGGCACATGTTGTCCCTGAGCTCCGTAACTATATCTCTCATAAAGATTTGCTTCTTTAAATAGTAAAATAATTCTCTGAAAAACAGCTAGCCTCTTCGCTAACTAACACACAAAATACCATTGGAATGCTACTTCCGCCGCGTCACCGTAAGTTTCACCCACTTTATTTTTTACAGGAGCGCCCCTCGGAAACTTGTGGATAATGCAAATCGATTTTTCAAATTTGCATATTCATCTATGTTAGCTTGATATTATAATATTGACAATATGGCTATTAACTACCACACAGACATTGAATTGAACTATAGCATATCCATTATGTAAAACAGTAGCCAATAGGCTACTACAAAGACGCTGACTTGTAAACGTGAGCTATGTGATCTTTTGGCGTTTGAAAAAAAATAACAATAATAATAATGTACCTGGGATGAAGATATTTCACACGCAACACTGGAGTCTGCCCAAGACGTGAGAATGCCTTCTGCAGAGTTCGGGGGTATATCTCTTGTCAACAAATGCAGGTGTGTATTCCCTGGCGTAACCATGACAGATTTTATGACAGCAGAAGAGCAAAATTTCAAAAGTTACCTAATGCTTAATATGATTTAAGAAAAAACTTGCAAATAATTCAAAAGTCAACACCGTTGCTGAGTATTTTCAATGAACCAAACAGTCTCAAAAACACGGTTTAAAATCGCTAGTGATTCTGACGTCACAATCACAAACTACCTTGTAACCAATCAGATCAACATGTGATCGGCAACGATTGGATCTCTGAGCTGCTGTGAGTGAGTGGAGGTGAGGTCATTTGCATATTCATTATGCAATGTGTAGAGTAACTTTACATTCATATTTACATCTTTTAAAGAAACGTTTAAATAGCCTATTTAATTTTGGTGATCAAAGATGAGTCTTAAGGGATGAAATTATTGATTACAAGGGACTTTAAACCATACAGTAGCTTTGTATTTTTCATATGTGTTTTCTTTTGGGTTCCACATTATAAAGAAAGTTATATGGTTTAAAAAAAATTCATGTGTAAATAATGACAATTCAGATTTTTGGTTGAATTATTCCTTTATTGCATTGGTTCTTAGTCCTCTCTAGAGGGCAGTATTTTCTCATGGTTCACTATTGCATTAGTAATTCAATACATGCAGTCTGTGACTGAATGATCAAATTATGCTTTCAGTTAGTCTCTGACATCTTTGTGGAAGAGAAGACATAATTGGAATGCATCCCACGGCCATAACATAGAAAAAAACTGTGGCATTTCATAAATGCTTTTTATATAATAGGACAGTATTTTTGCTGCTGTAGCAAACCATATCCTGCAATCTGACCTCATTTTATTATGTAAAAGAATACAATGATGAAGAGTTAGACGGCCGTGCCCTGTTGACTTCCACTCCCCATGCAGAACTATGAAGGCCTTGAACGACGGGTTTCAGGAACAATACAATCACTTATCCTCATGAAGGAACTGGTGTTTGTCCTCGTCATGTGTGTTAACACTGAATGACAATGACGGTTCATCAGTAATGTATGATGGTGACTGTGTGTTAATACCTAGTGTTTTGAAGAACAACAACAACAGATTAATTTTAATTATAAATTATGCAACAAGTAAAGTCACATATTATATAATTCTCTATGCAGTGCAGATTGCTTCAAAAGCAGTTTCACAGTAATATACTAGAAAATACAGGTTGTTAAATTCGTCACAACTTCAATTTTAGCTGTAAAGCAGCTGTACGGTACGCAATGAAACAACTCCCACCAACTATTCTTTGTTTTGGTTGATCTATCTCTATATTCGGTCATTATTAAAACTTCATTTGAAGTAATCAGGGTGGAAGTGTTTGTTTTATCTTAAATGGCTCATCTTTTTCTCTATATCTGAGTGCAGAGTGTGTTCTTTGCAGAAAAGTCTTTCTTTTAAGTTTTAAATCAATTTTGCAATGAGAACAGAACAGATCCTCTTCATTTGTGTTCCTTTTTTCATGAACAATGAGAACTGGTCTCTGCCAGCATGGCGATTTAGTATAAGTATTGCTTTGTGACACTGTGCAGTTCTCAAATGTCAAGATTTAGACTATTTATTTACACATCTCTATTAAAGTGTCATAATTGAAAGAAGCATAATTTTTAGTTAAAAATACACAAGTAACTGGGTACTTGTGTGTGCAATGAAACAAGTGGTTGCTAAAAACAAGTTGCAAGAAGCATTAGTCATTGTTTAATTTAGGTATTGTCATGTAAATAAAATCTTGAGTCCATAAACCTTCCTTAGAAATCAAAATGATAGTTTATGTAGTATATGCATATATAGTAGAGAAGCACAACAATTAAGCCTTTTCCAGAGTTTCCAGCTTTTTTTTTTTTTTTTTTTTTTTTTGATGAAGAAGAAATTTCAAAAGATACAATACAAATACAATGCATGTTTGTAAAAATGACTTTTTGTTTCTTCGAGGGCAATATAGACTCAATTGAATGCTTCACTTCATTTTTAAATGCACATTTATGAATCTGAAATTTACACCATCAAAATAAAAATAATAATAAAATGAGTGCGGGGTAGATTGTTTCCCAGCTCTGCACAATGAAACAATTCGTTGCGTCACAACAGGCCACGCCCACACGCAGTTACTTGTGAACAGGCGTGTGGGCGTGGCCTCAGAATGACGCTCACTTGTTGCTTCACAGGATTAGTGAAACTTTTCCAGCAATACATTAACGGACCTAGTTTGAGTCAAAAGGCTTTGACACAACTTCTTTTCTGGCAGGACGGCTCGCGCGTCCTTGTTGCTTTTTCAGTTCCAACTGAAACGGGTTGAGTTTTCTCAGAAATGTCTCTGGCAGAGCAAAGCCAGCAGTGGTATCCCACCAGCGTCCAGGTAACGGTGCTCCAGGCGCGGGGGTTGCGGATCAAGGGGAAGAATGGCACCAACGACGCGTACGCCATCATGCAGGTGGCAAAGGATAAGTTCTCCACCTCGGTGGCCGAGAAGAGTGTCGCGCCGGTGTGGAAGGAGGAGGCCGCGTTCGACCTGCCGCTCTTTCACCCTAGTAACGCGGAGCGCTGCACCCTACAGGTGTGTGTGATGCACCGGGCTCTGATGGGTCCCGATAAAACACTCGGTCAGGCGACCGTCAACCTCCTGGAGCTCCAGGACAATAAATCCCGTAATAAATCAGAGTGAGTGAACGTGACTTTACATGTATCCTGATGACGTATGCATTCTTGATTTCTGTTGAGTCGCATGAAATGCGTTAAACTGAAACATTTATAACACAATTCTGAAACATTATAATATTAATACCACACACAACACACACTTCCCAGAGGATATCTGATGTGCTTCTGACAAACTAAGGCATTTCTCAAGTGCTTGTAACTTTTCTCTACTTCTTATTTAGTGTTTGAATGGTATTTCACATACTTCTGTGCTGAGGGATGACCCCCCCCCCCCACCCCCAAAAGAATACAAGAATTAAAGAATTACATGGGAAAATATGTAATTCTTGTTTGAGCCTATTAGGATTGTTTGGTGGAAATTCCACTGGCTTTATGTTTGTTAAAGGTCTGGTGAAACCAAAAAAAGATCTGGTGATTGTTCCATTTCACTGTAATCCAGAGCCACACGGTGTACATTATGCACAGACTTCATGAATAAATTAGTTTAGCATCAGTCACGGCAAAACAGCAAAGGTCAGAACGGAAATTTAAAAAGTGGCACACAAATCCGTCACAGCATTCTGACCTTGGATTTGAAGAGCTTGCTTTAAAGAGCTTGGTTTCTCCTGCTCGCTGAATGACTTTCATTGTTTGCTTGTAAATGCATAAAGCTTTTGATTACACCTTGTCTGGTCATTTTCATTACAAGACCTAATTCAATCTCCCGCACAAAGGCAGCCAGCACACGTCTGGGCTTCTGCCGAATAATTGTTTTTCTCTATAATGAGTTCATCTCACTGTTGAGTCAGAATGAAAGCTGTTTTCTAATGAACTGGGCTACGAGAGAACTTGGCTTATGCAGTCGGGTTCTTTTGAGTCTGACTGAGATGTTTCCTGTTGTGATCTGATAGAGTTTATGCTAAGTAAGTGATATCTTGTCCTGTTCCAGCGTGGGCTGCTGTTCCCCATCAGGTCATAGGAACCCGGAAACACAGTCAGGTGTCTCGAAGTAAGCGGACTCATATGAAACTGGACCTGTGTTTCTTGTAAACTGATATACCATTCTGATGGTGATTTTAAAGGATTAGATTGCCAATCTTGTGGCTGACTGACATCAACATGGTGTCATTTCTGGAAGATCTCATTTGAATTTTCAAGATTCAATGCAGTTGAGCTCAATTGACAGCATTTGTGGCATAGGCAAACTTCATTGAGTTTTCACTCATCACATGTCCTTCCCTTTCTTAAAAAAATATTAAGGTTGAATTGGGCCAATTTTTGGAGGAGGACCTAAAAGTAGAAATTTGAATCTTTAATAAAAAATGTCTTCTTTTTTTGTGGTAATCAGCACAAGTAGCCTGACTTCGTCATACTCATATTCTTGACAGAATGTGAGTCTGAAACTGCTTCATTGGGCTTTGATTATGAGGCGTGTCTTAACCGAACGAGGAAAAAATAAACTCTGCTCTCAATTGGATAGTCGGTAGACCTACAACCAATCAGAGCAATGCAGTAAGGCAACTACTTTGCATTTCACAGTTGTCAACAGAACTTACTTATTTTAGAAGTAAAATAACGAGTGTTGCTAGTTCTTTTACTTGGTCCTCCATGAGTGCGACCAAAGCAAAAACCACAACGACCACAAGCTTTTCATTACGTACCATCTTCTTCACGACCATCGGAGTCAACTGATAAGTTACACTTTTCCCGAATCATGTAGGAAGGACGGCAAAAAAATCTTTCCGATTGTCAAATGCCTTGATTGCAGTTGTCTGTTCGTCTATTAAAAATGATGCGCTGTCGGTTCATTTTACAACAGACGTGGCAGCGGAATCTATACATCTCAATTCTCCAGCTGCAATCTTTAAGGGAAACCAGTTAAGCGCTCTTTGATAATGTGATTATTACGTTCCTGTAGATCACCTGTCAATCATCGAATAAAGCCCGCCCTGGCAATATGATTGGCCCGAATATTTTTTGACTGATCATATGCTCCTCAATGGATCGAGTCCAGACCGAACTTCCTGACCAAAAAATGTTGTGGGTGGGGTTCGGGCTGGCGTCCAGGCTATCAATTAAGGATAACTTGCATTGAAACAAGAAGCTGATTCATTCTTTCTGCCCAAACTTTATTTCCTGTACTTTTCATTGCTGTTAATTTCCCTGATCGTCATATTAGTATTTTCTAGGGCTGTCAAACGATTAATCGCATCCAAAATAACAGTTTGTGTTTACATAATATATGTGGGTGCACTGTGTATAATTATTTTATATACACACACATGCATGTATATTTAAAGAGCCCCTATCATAGAATTTTAAATGTTCCTGTTTTTGTTTTGGGAGTTCCCAAAAACAGTTTAACGTGCATGCAAGGATAAACACTTTATTTGTCTTATAATATGCATTTATTTTTACCCGATTTGCTCAACGACTCCCAAACAATTCGTTCGATGATTCATTTACCAAACACCTCCTTTGAGTGACGCGAATCTGCGGCGATTGGTCAAATGACCTAGTCAGTTGTTATTTGTTTCTAAGGTATGGAAAGATGAAGGAATTATACTATATATATATATATTTATATATATATATATATATATATATATGAAGAGTTCAGATGCAAAAGCCTCTAAGTGCCATTTGAAATTTTCTTCTAGAATGATCATTTTTATCAAGCTTGTATATTTAAGTTCAGTGATTTCACTTAAATGGCAATGATAATTACCTATTAATTGTTATTTAAGTGAAATTACTGAACTTAAATATACAAGTTTGATAAAAATCATCATTAAAGAAGAAAATTTCAAATGGCATTTAGAGGCTTTTGCATCTGAACTCTTCATATATATATATATATATATATATATATATAATATAAGGCTTTTTGATTCACAGAGGTTTTTATTTTACACAGTATGGCAATAAGTTTTGAAATTTGAGTATTTAATATATTTATATGCACCTTCCAATTTAACTTATCATCAATATTAATTCCCAAAAACTTTATTACATACACCCTTTCAATTTCTACCTCCCCAATTTTGAGTCGACATAGTTTGTTTGCTACCTTGGCTTTTGAGGGACAGTGCTTATTATATAGAGCGAAGTCATATTTGGCTAAGTATAGGAGGTAATTGCCATTTTTTCAATGAATGTCTGGTGAATATCAAAAACAAAACTAACTTTACCCCGCTTAGAAGTTGCGCGGAGTGTACACAACACACACAACACAATATAACTATATTGTGCATGCTACAGAAAACATAACAGCAAACATTATTAATAATACTTACAGATTGTGATTCAGAGGAGGACGAACCTGATCCATATACACTGGATACTGAGCCCTCCTTCGGGAACAACTGGCTTGCGAATCTATATTTGAATTCATTTATGTTTTTGAATGATTCGTCATTAAAATGATGAGAACACAAGGTTCGGGCTATACTGTTGTGGTATCGTTGCAAATATGAACTCTAACCACTGATTCTTCACATGCTCGTCCCTGGGCAATGACAACAAGTGGCTGAACCAGACTGATCTCATGAAGTAGCGTGTGAATGACACGCCAATTCGTATTTCCATTTTTGGCGTGCTATCAAGATGCATAATCGCCTTTCAGCGTGTTTATGAATGCCGTTGACTTAACGTTATATAAATATATGACTTACCTCAAACCCGTCCCTAAACCTAACCGTCACTGGGGTTAATGGCATTTATGTCTGTTCCCTTACCATCCTAGGTAAAAAAAAGATATGACTTACCTCAACCCCATCCCTAAACTTAACCGTCACTGGGGTTAATGGCATTTATGACTGGAGATTTGACTGCGTGTACAGACACGCGGAATGACGCGGACGTTAATGGCGTAGGCATACACGCGGATACACGCAGATAGTTCAAAATGTGTAGAGATAACGCGCCACCTGACTCGAAAGTGGCGTATATGTTTACGCAAAAGTCATGATGTCATGTTGGCTGAACTGTCTTTGCAATGTAGAACACAGCGTCTTCTCGACATGACGCTATTCAGCTGAAGTTTTTGAATGTGTTCTAGACTAGACTTCAAGTTTACACTCCTGTCTGCGCACGCTGTTGTTGGGAGCGGCCATTGAGCTAATGTTTTGTATCTATATCCCGACGAAACAGCTTATGACTCGTTTCAAAAACAATTCATTTCATAGACTCAGAGTCTACTCTCACTTTTGAAAGACAATAACTTTATATACAGTGCACTTTCAGATATAAATCTTTGCAGGATGTTTTCATTCCCTTAGAGCTATATTCCACACTACATGAACAGTCAATTTCAAAAATCCATGATAGGGGCTCTTTAAGAAAAAATTATTATTTATTTACATATAAAATATTTATATTTATATATAATATAAATTATATATAAATCTATATACAGTATATACATAAAAATATTTCTTAAATGTATACAAGCATGTGTGTGTGTGTGTGTATATGTATGTGTGTGTGTGTATATATATATATATATATATATATGAAGAGTTCAGATGCAAAAGCCTCTAAGTGCCATTTGAAATTTTTTTTTATCAAGCTTGTATATTTAAGTTCAGTAATTTCACTTAAATGGCAATGATAATTACCTATTTATTGTTATTTAAGTGAAATTACTGAACTTAAATATACAAGTTTGATAAAAATTATCATTAAAGAAGAAAATTTCAAATGGCATTTAGAGGCTTTTGCATCTGAACTTTTCATATATATATATATATATATATATATATATATATATATATATATATATATATATATATATATATATACACGCACACACAGTGCACCCACATGTATTATGTAAACAAACTTTTATTTTGGATGCGATTTAATCTTTTGACAGCCCTAGTATTTTCTTATCTACTGTTATTAATTCCTGGTTTTTCTCTTATCATAACATAAGAAAATATGTCATTACTTATAAAATGTTTATTACTTTTTGCTTTTATTTAAGGCTAACAAAGTCCGTTACACTGCCGTTCAAATGTTCTGAGTCAGGTGAGATGATTAT